AAAAATATTAAAAGTTATACTTTAAATTAATGAAAATATTTAAAAAAAGTTATATTTATTAAAGTATTAAAAAATATTTTGTAATATATAAGTTAAAAAAATTATCATTAAATTTTTAAAAAATATTAGTTTTGTAATTTATATACAACGAAAATAATATAATAGTATATTAGTATATAAATATATAAATATATAAATATATCAATATATAAATATATATTAAAATATATAAATATATTTGTATCTATAAATTTTATAAATATATAAAGATATAAATATATAAATATATAAAGATATAAATATATAAATGTATAAAGATATAAATAAATATATAAATATATAAATATATTAATATTTTAATATATTAATATATTAATATATTTATATATTAATATATTAATATATTAATATATAAATATTTAAATATTTAAATATATAAATATATAAATATATAAATATGTAAATATATCAATATTTAAATATATATTAAAATATACAAATATATTTATATTTATAGATTTTATATATATATATATATATATATATATATATATATATATATATATATAGATGTAAATATATAAAGATATAAAGATATAAATATATGTAAAGATATAAAGATATAAAAATATAAATATATGTAAAGATATAAAGATATAAAATATAAAGATATAAAGATATAAATATGTAAAGATATAAATATGTAAGGATATAAATATATATCTTTAATATTTTGTACATGTAAATATAATTTATATATATTTTTAAATCTTTTTTTAATATTTATTTGTAAAAATTTAATATTATTTTTAAAATTTAATATTTAAATTTTTATTTTTTTTCAAATATATAAAGATATAAATGTATAAGGATATAAATAAATATATAAATATATCAATATATACATATCAAAATATAAATATATTAATATATTAATATATAAATATATCATTATATAATATATATATATATATATATATATATATATATATATATATCAATATATCAATATTATCCCCTCATATATTATTATACATTATTAACGTAATTTTAGTTTAATTAAAAATTAGAATACAAATATATTATATTATATTAATATACCATTATGTTATAATATTTGTAATTTATTTTTATAGTGTATAAATTACAAAACTAATAATTTGTATACTATACTAATATATAATTTGTATACTATACTAATAGTATAATATACTATATTATAATATTATTTGTATACAAAACTAATATCTTTATATCTTTATATATAAATATATAAATATGGAAAGATATAAATATATGTAAAAATATAAAGATATAAATATATAAATATATATATAAAAATATAAAGATATAAATATATCAATATATAAATATATCAATATATCAATATATTAATATTTAAATATATCAATGTATTAATATTTAAATATATATTAAAATATATAAATATATTTTTATTTATAGATTTTATATTTATATATTTATACGGATATACATTTATTTGTACATAAATATAATTTATTTGTAAGTTTTAATCCTAGTAGCTCAGATGGTTGGAGTTTCAACCTCCAACTCTAAGGTATCAGGTTCGAATCCTGACAATGACAATAAACATAATAATAAGTTAAACTTTTAAAAAATATAATTAAGAGTTAGGGAAAATAAATATAAATAAAAACTTAAATAAGCAAAAATATAATATAAAAAGAGGTAGGGAAATAAATAATAAATGTAAATAAATAAAAATAATTAATTTTGTTATTGATTTAGCGATCGATTTAAATCGATCGCTATTTTTTTAACTTTGTTATTGATTTAGGGACCGATTTAAATCAGTTGCTATTTTTTTTAACTTTGTCATTGATTTAGCGACCGATTTAAATCGGTCGCTATTTTTTTAACTTTGTCACCGATTTAGCGACCAATTTGATATATTAATTTCGGTCGCTATTTGGCGACCGAAATGAAAATCGGTCGCTAACACATTAGCGACTTGGCTTTTTGTGACGACACATTTCGGTCGCTAATTTCGGTCGCTAACTGATTAGCTATCAATTTTTTGACATTAACGACCAATTTTTTCGGTCGCTAAAATGCTTTTTTCTTGTAGTGCTAAGGATTTGAAGTTGAACTTGTTTCACCCTTTCATCTCCATTGTTTGCTTTTTCAAGTGTATCCCATACTATTTTGGAAGATTTTGCATTAGTTATCTTCTCAAAGCTAGATTCGTTGACGACTCGGTATAGTAGATACAGAACCGTCTTGTCCTTAGCTCAAACAGCCTTCAATGCGTTAAACTGGACCTTTGAATACCCATCTGGGTTCGCCGGTTCCCCATACCTATTCTCGACCACATCCCAATTATCTTGGGAGCCGAAAAGAACCTTCCTTTGTACCTTCCAGTTGTCATAATTGGTGTCTCACAAAGTTCTGAGTCGCTCCTCTCTCTTTCTTAGCCAGCACACACTGCGGCGTTCTTTCTTGAAACTTGGTGGACTCTCACACACTCACTTTACACACAAGCTCTGATGCCAATTTGTTGGTAACAGAAAAACAAAATAATACTCTCAATTTTTCTCCTGAATTGTTACAATTATTTATGACCAAAATATTTGTCTCTTAAAATGCCAAACATAAATCATAATACCTATTAAATAGGTTTACAACCCATTGATTATACAACTCATAATTAAAATCATTAATATTATTTTAAAAATATTAAATGTCTAATTTAAGTTTTACAATAATTGTCTGTACGGAGAGATCTCCCATGTCTCTTTTAAAAGACTTTGAAGTTTCCCCGCTCCCGCCACCAGAAAAAGTAGTGGCTTTTATCCCTCCACGTAGACGATCACGTCCAACCCTTGTGTATCCAAAACCAATTTAATTTCATTATTAACGGACTCATCACTTAATTTGAAATTAATGCTCTTCACACGGTTGTTTTCACTACTTGCCTCCAGTAGAAAGCCACAAGTTTGCTTCCCTGTCTGACCTGTTTTATATTGAACGCCCCACTAATTTTAGTGATTAATAGTTATAAAAAGTTATTATTTTTTTTTATAAACCATTGTTTTAGTCTCTAATTCAGAAATGTAGTAGTTTCTACTAATAATGGGGATGCAGGTATGGAAGGAGATATCTCGCTTTTCTTGTATGTATAGCTATTTTGTTGTTTTTTATCGCTCAAAATTAATAATACAGTAGAATAGAATAATGGGTGTCCAAAAAGGATAGAATAAAGGAATCCAAGCACTAGATGTCTTAGGCATCGCACTGATCCATGTTTGTTATAACAAGGACATAAGAATTTTTTTATAGCTTTTTTTTTATTATTATTAAATTTCGAGATATTAAGAGACATAAATTTATATAAGAATATAATTAGTCAATATCCTTCCTTCTACAAAGGAAAGCTTTTGAATCTCATATTATTGATTATGTTAACATTATTATGATAAACTGGATTTAAAATTCTCGTCGTAATTTTATTGTTAAAAGATATTTTGGTAAGTTAAGAGAGATGTATTTAAATTATCTTTCGCCCCGATTTCTAAACGAGCTCATAGTATAAGCCTTCAAATTGAGACTAAAAGATAAGAATGAAACAAAATTTTATTCTCTACCCAACTTTACATCATGTTTTTAACTATGTACACAATGTTTTTAAGTTTGATCTATTAATAAAAGTCTGTATACATACTTTAATTCTTAAATAGTTGTAAAAGAAATGTTAAAAACTAATTTAATTACAAATTTTTTATTTATAAAGTTTAAATATAATAATAAATTTTTATTACCCTTTATACTTACATAATAATTTTGAATTTATAAAAATCTCTATGATTTTAGATGATATAAACTAAAGAGATTAATATATATATATATATATATATATATATATATATATATATATATATATATATATAGATAGATAGATAGATAGATACTAAAATTTATTAAAATAGTCTGCACATGGACATAAAAATGAGCTTGTTTATAGGAAGGAAATCAGTAATTAAATCTAATAATAAAAAAATAGTTTGATTTTCTATTTAAAAATACACGCAGAAAATACATTTATCTCAGCAGTAAACACTATATATATATATATATATATATATATATATATATATATATATATATATATATATAGAGAGAGAGAGAGAGAGAGAGAGAGAGAGAGAGAGGCCCTCTGTTCAGTTGAAATTAATTTGGATCGTGACTGCAATTGTTGTTGTGGTGTTTTCTGTAATGTAATAGTTTGCAATTGTTGTGTGATTTTTTCAATCACACAGTAACACAACGTAGCCACAATAAGATCGTAATGGAATTCTAACGAGATTTACTTCGTTGTCATCATAAATATTTAAATTTAAATTTTCTGTTTTATCTTCTAAGTGTTAATGGTGGAATAAGTGTGAACATGTGTGAGTCAAAAAGAAACGCAAGAAAACACCCTTGTGTACTGGGAGTTAGTGTGATACATGCTTATTTATTTGTACTTGAAAATGGTAAAGAAATTGATTTGTTCTGGATCTTGAATCGTGTTTATTTATTTTTATTTTCTATTTTAATCATGGCTAGCTACTTTGACTTGCTGGTTGATATAGGACTTGGTTGGGACAAAGAAAAGTAATTAATATCCGACAAAAATATGAACACATTGAACAATTTTTTTGCTTTCAATTTACAAATTGATCTGTGTAGAACCATCACTTTTGACCATTCTAGGTGAATTACGAGTGCTTTCTCAAGAGGAAAGAGATTTAATGTTTATGGTAACTATTTTACCAGTAATCAAATTTCATCATTCATTCTATGATTTTGTTTGAAAATAAAGACTGTGATTCTATATGATAAAAGACATTATCCCTTGCGCTTAGGAAAAACTACAACTGGTAAATGAGTGTTTCCAATATTTTATTTGAACCCTAAATACAGAAAACTTAAATTGACACTTCCATGGATACAACACAAGCTCCAACCAAAGTACGAGTTTAAAACTTACAATCTATTAAGATAACACAATTATTTAGAGAACCATTCGTGTGCCCACTGGCATTGACAAGGCCTGTGTAGACTTGGTCTCTCACATTTCCAGAAGAAGAAAGACGTTTGAGGATTTGACTTAATTTCTTGTCACTCAAGGATGAAGCGGTGCTGGAACTGGCTCCATTGTTGCAATGAGAACACGCACCAGGCGACCATATACCGGTGCGACAGGTTTGTTCAATAACCTTTTGTAGATCAGCTCTTGGGTGTACGAAAGGACCCTCCACTTCAACAACAAAACCGTGGCCTTTATTGCGACGAACTTTGGCAGCAACAGAAAGACCTATCTCTCCGGTCAGATAATAGTGCGCCACATTCACCATGTAAGCATCGCGAGAGTATAAGAATTTCTTCTTTTCCAGCACAACAAGACCTCCTCTGTCTGAACAACCGTACGGTACAATAGTTGTCTCTATAGAGAGATCTTCCATGTCCCTTTTAAAGGACATTTGACTGCTAAGGTTCCCACCACCAGAAGAAACAAGAGCTATTATCCCTCCACGGAGACGATCACGTCCAACCCTTGTGATATCCAAGTGCAATCGAATTGTATTATTTGCGGAATTATCACTTAACTGAAAATCGATGTTCTTAACACGATTGGATTCACGACTTGCCCCCAGCTGAAAACGACAAGTTTGGTTATTCATCTGACCTATTTCGTATTTCACGCTCCAAGCATTAGTGTCATCATTTTCTTCCGTGTTTGTCATGGAAACTACAAAATCATCTCCTAAACATGCTTTGGTACCAGTGGGGCATGTTTTATAGGAAGTACATTGGGTTAGAAGGTTGGTTTGACTACTGTAAGGGATTCCCATTATATATATGGCTATATTCAAAGGAGTAAGGTTTGAGGAAATATTCAGGTTAGAGTAAAGCCATATATAACTGGAATGAGTCTCCAATCTAGTATGTGAATTTGGGTTTTGCTCTGGGAGATTGAATATGTCTCACCACCTTCTGTACATATTTATATCAGAAAGAAATATTAAGAAAACGCAGAACTTTGCAACATTATTATTGTTATGATTTTTTTGGTTGATGAAGTGTCCCAACACTACGATCAAGAATCTAATGCCAAAGAAGATAACAAGGACGAATAATGAAAACAGTATTAGATGCTATTGAATTATCATAGTTAATGTGAGTCTTTACATGATAATATATAACTATTTCGTAAATTAGAAAATTGAAAATATATTATATATACATTAGCTAAGATCATTAGCAGGTGATGATTCAATCAAACATATATAGTAGTTTCTCTTAATAATGGGGCTGTAGCTATCGAAGGAGACATTGGGCTTGTCTTATATGTATATTGGTTTTTTCAGGATCTATCGCTGAAAATTAATAATACCATGCATAGAATAGAATAAAGGGTATTACCCAAACATTAAAAGATAGAATAAAGGAAACAAAGCACTAAATGTATAGGGCATCGCATTGATCCTAGATTGATGTGTCCAAAGTTCAAAATTAAGATAAGCATCTTCAAAAACAATAACCTAAAACCCTAAATTTGAGGTATATAATATTTTGGTGACAAAATTGACCAGACCACCGAGTTTGGAATCAAGCTAATGAGCTTGGAGAAGTATCGCAATCGAACGCGACTTGAGCCATTCTTTATGCCAGTTGAACAATTTCAGCTTAATAATGATGTAAGGTATGAAACTACCGAATTTTGAACCAATTCAATGAGCTTAGAAAAGTTATACTGACAAATACCATTTACAGCATGCAAATAATATTGTTTTAAGAAAAACTAACGCCATTAAAATCTTGATAGAAAAACTGTAAATAAATTAATCATTTCAACATCGGGGGTTAAGAAATATGTGTGTGTGAGAGAGATTAACGATGGAGGAAACTGATAAAATCTGTACTTTTTACATCAATTCCTTAAGTATTCGAGGTAGAAAATGACATATGCACCTTCATTGTGAAGTTTTTTTTCTTAAACTCAATTCCAATCATAAATCAAATTACACATAATTAATATTATATATATATATATATATATATATATATATATATATATTATAAAAGAAATTTTAATTTCCTTAATTATAATAATAATATATTAAATTTTTTAAATTGTTATAACCAAGATTATATAATAATAATCGTAATATATACTTAAAAAATAATAATACTTTGACATGTTCTTTTTATTATTATATGTTTATCTTTTATTTAAATTAATTACTTTTTTATGATGTTAAAGTCTCATTTAAAAGTGATACTAGCACTTCACCATGTCTAAAAATAGAGTTGTCATCTCGATCAAAATTCATCACGTCCTTATTAGATTCTAACGAGAGTCCTTCACCATTCATTATGACATCAATTCTCATAAACAACTATCACATATGACCCAAATTTTTCACGGAAAGTTTTACTTCCATAATTGAGTATTTGATCGCTGCAACATCAAGATAGGTTTTGATTTGTCTTGGTCTAAAATAAGAGGTTAATTATCCTAATTAATCAATCTAATAACTCAAGAAATTCATACCTATATAACAAGTTTTATACAAATTATGTCAATGTCTATAGTGTTTCACAAATTGATTTAAATATTCCTTTCAGTCAAAAGTTCAGTCATGATAATTTCATCCTTGGATAATTGATCCGCAGGTCACAAATCATGTTACTTCTTCGTGATCTTCAAACTCATTTTAAAATATAACTCATTCACATCAAATTGCCCAACAGTAATTTTATTACATATTGTGTTTTATGCACAATTTTTTTTCCCTAGTTTTATTATTCATTATGTTCTTTATATATATCACATTTCGATTTTAATCTTCTTTATCATTTTTAGAAACATTGGTTCTGATTAAGGACCCAAATTTTTTTTAAAAGGATTTTTTTCTTCAAAAGGCATCTTATATCAAACAGGGTGTGTTACAACCCTTAACAAAATTGAAAAGTAGAAAGAAAACATCAACACATACTTGATGCGGCAAGAGTTCTTATGTTTTAATCTCATATTCGCAATCATTTATGGTCTTATGTCATTAAATATGTTGTTTACTTAATCAATTATATTCTATCACCAATCAAGTGGAATGTTGAATATTTAGCAAGCGTATCAAAATTATCAATCGCAGTACAGTATTTCGATTAAATAAAAGTCGATCCTACGAGGAACGATTTCAATGGAAATTTCAAATCATATGCTTACTAGGTGGAGTAAAACAAAATTTGTTTTTCATAAAAATGAGTTAAAAATAAATGACAAAAAACACTAAAGCGCGTTTAGAAAATATCAAATAAAAGAACTTAAGATTTATTTTTTTCCTTTTCTCTCTTTTGCATAATGACTAGGTCAAATTAAGAATATCAATTCACTTATCAATATTGGTATCACCTACTCAAATCATTCACTTTGATTCCTCGCATGTGAAATTCATAAGAAAACCTGATAAAAGTCGATTCCTCATACAGTTACGAAAATTTTCAGCATTAGGTTTAGGGTGTTAAGCACTTGATACATTCATTCCATTCTTGGTAATTAACATAACAAATATTCTTACCTGATCTAGGGTTTCAAGATAAATTTTCCAATCATATCCCAAACATCAAGAATAATTCATTCCAAGGTACAAAAGATAAGAATAACAACATCAAAACATATATTAATATCTCAAAATATCACCATGACACAAAAGAGCTCCAAGGAAGTGCACAAAATCCTAAAAGAATGAAGTTAACCACTCATGGTAGCCATTACAATGCTCTAAATGAGGACGAATTGAAGAATCATTGAAGAACATAACAACAATTGCCCTTTTCTCCAAAAACCTAAAATTATATCTCAAAACGTGTCTTATCTTTTTATAGGAAATATTGGGTCTGGACTCGCATCATTCGCTCAAGCGATCCATTATTCGCTTGAGCGAAAAGCAGCAAATTTCGCTCAAGCGAAAGATGTCCGCTTGAGAGAGAAGAAACCCGATAACTTTGTCGTATTTTCGCTCAAGCGAGAGTAGGTTTCGCTTGAGCGAGTGCACACCCGAAAGGTTTGTCGTATTTTCGCTCAAACGAGAATGGAAGGCACTTGAGCGAGTGAACTCCCGAGAGTTTTAACGTATATTCGCTCAAGCGAACGTAGATGGTACTCGAACGAATTTCCAGCAAAAATTTTCTTCTTTCTTTCACTTTTTCTTCAATTATCTTCACAATTATGATCTTTGCTCTTATATCAAGGTATTCTACCAATTCATCTTACATTGGGAGAAAAATAGATTCAAATCAATAATGTGTAAGTGGTTACATAACAATTAAGAGCATAATTATATTAATTTTTACCACTTAACAACTCTCCCCAACCTAGAATCTTGCTTGTCCCCAAGCAAAGTAATTTTTTCAAAACAAAATCATCATCTATTATCACTTTCACTTCCAGAACCACAACATAAAAATATTTTTCTTCCAAATGCAATGCTCACAACTCCAAATGAAAATATGATATATAAGCATTAAAGTTACAGAAACTAACAAAGGATAATTAGTCATCAATTATCCTCATAGAAGCCTGATTTCTCAAATAGAATGATATATAATCATCTCTAACTCTCACGAGTAAGTGTTTATCTCATTCAATCACTTCATTTAAATTCCAATATTGATAATCATCTTCAAGCAATCATCATTTGTTAAGCAAGACTTAAATTAAAAGGTCTTTTGAGGCTTGTAATGGGGTTTGACTAAGAAGGAATTCATTGGTTTTTTTGGGATAAACAAAAATATATGAGAAATTGAAATTATATGAATGATTCTTGTTTAACATTTCCTCAAATCAGGTCTCAAACTTCATGTTTTGCTTCAACATAATGATATTGAGTTAACAATCTTACTAGTTATCATTTACACCACTTTGAATTTATTTTTCCCTTTCCTCATGCTTTGCATTTATCATTTCGGCTTAGCCCCAATATTTATGTTTTTCTTTTCATTTTTGCTTTATTCAACCTTCTCTCTTATTTTTTTTTTTTTAAGAATAACAATACCCATAGGAAAAACAATAACATTCATAATCATTACATTTCTCAAATATAAAAGGTGGATAAACATTGTTTAGGCTCAGGGGTTATGTTTCAAGAAACAATCTTTTTTTATTTTGGCTCAAATGGAGTTCAAATGAATTTCCTATAATTAATTAATGCAATGTTAGCTATTTGGCTCTAGGTTATATAAACTTTCACTACACAAGAAAAAATGCCTTTATCATTTTCAAGTCTCGCTAACATGCAATCACATCAAAGAATCAATCAATACCAATATCATCATAAAGTGTTAACACTTAATTTATCTATTTTTGGTTCACTCCTCTCTTGGGTTTCAGCTAGCTTCTCCAATTCAGTTAATTGCTAGTTCTTCTCATCAATTCCTTTCTCACTATTGTAGACCCCAAATCTTGTCCGGTTTCACAAAAAAGAGCAGAAGACTTCCGTTCGAAGATGGACAAGGCCTTAAAGGTCCCTAGGATTGTTCATTAGGCTCTATATTAGAATAGGAAGACTTTTTGTATACAAAAATAAGAAAATTATGCCCAAAAGACCGAGACCGCTGTCTCGTTTGGCAAGACTGTCGTCTCATCGTTTGTCATAGGCGAGACCGCCATCTCGTTTGGCGAGACTGTCATTTTGCCATTTGCCAAAAGCGAAAAAGTCGTCTCACCATTTGCCAAAAGCGA